GTACACGACGATGCTGATGAAGTTTGACTGCGTGGTAATGGACGACGAAACCTACGTCAAAGCCGACTACAAGCAGCTTCCGGGACAGGAGTTTTATACGGCAAAAGGAAGGGGAAAGGTAGCAGATGTTTTCAAGCACATGAAACTGTCAAAGTTCGCAAAGAAATATCTGGTTTGGCAAGCCATCTGTACCTGTGGCTTGAAAAGCAGCATTTTCATAGCTTCCGGGACTGTCAACCAAGAAATTTACGTGAAAGAGTGTTTGAATAAACGTCTGCTGCCTTTCCTGAAGAAACACGGTTGTTCCGTACTGTTTTGGCCGGATTTGGCATCTTGCCATTACGGTAAAAAGGCCATGGAGTGCCTCCCAACACGCCAGAGCTCCGCCCAATTGAGAAATACTGGGCTATTGTCAAGCGGAACCTAAAGAAGACCAAAAAAACTGCTAAGGGCGAGCAGCAGTTCAAGGCAAACTGGCTTTCTGCGGCGAAGAAGGTGGACAAGGTGGCTGTACAAAATCTGATGGCAGAGGTCAAGCGTAAGGCCCGGCAATTCGGATTTGGAAAAGCGGAAGCCTAACTGAATATTTTTCCTGAATTTTATACTAATTGAACTTGAAAAAGAAATTTAATTTGATTTTTTAAATAAACGATTTCACTGATTTACACGCGTTTTCCCTTGACCAAATTTTGACCGTATCACCCTTTAAACCACTACATCGTCCACACAGGCAGGCATCTCGAGAGTCAATCAATACCACGGATTGCCTCACACAATGCTGTGTAATCAGCACGGTGAAAGTCCAAGTTTTGCAGATCAACGATAGCATTCGAAACAGCCTTTTTACGAACGACATTTTCATTAGCTAACACAAAGTCAAGAATACGACCATTTTGATTAGGAACTGGATTGATTTGCGTTAAACCATGCAGACTGAACTCATCCAACAATATTGAACGAGAATGAGATACGATTGCTGAACATCTATGACGGGAAGATCATTCAGTGAATCAGACCAAACCAGATTGCATTGATTGTTGTCTCTAAACTGCATTGCGATATCCGAAACTTCAAGATTCGAAAGAATTACTCCAATAGAGTTTACATGGTTATTGATGTCAGCAACATTTGCTCTCCGATCTGGTGGCAAGTAGATCACCCCGATGCTAGCGTTACCGGTGGGAGTTTTAATACTGATCCACAATTGTTCACGAGTATCACCGACAGCTTTTAGATCTAAGCAGCAACTCAAGTATAAAGACACGGTGATAAGAACGCCACCACCCCTGGATTTGGTGCTGATCACAGGATTGCGATCATTTTGAATCACAGTGTACGAGCTGCCAAACAGTTGCGTTGACAAAATGCGGTCATCAAGCCATGTCTCAGTGAGGACGATGACATCGTAGAAAGAATCCGAAGCGGCAAGGAAGCAGTCGTCAATCTTAGTGCGTAAGCCTCTTACGTTCTGGTAGTAGATGTTGAGACGACGTTCATCTGAGTCCAAATTTTCTCTGGCTGGGAGTTTTAGCGTTGGATCACTGCAAGCCAGAGGCGCATGAGGGATGGAAATACTGTTGCTGCTTAAGTAGTTGCCTGTAATTGCAGGCTGGAAGACCCCTTCTCCGACTCTGTACACAGGTCCGAGACGAGACTGAGACGGGTGGAAAAGGGGCTTTCAAAGTGCTTAGAGTTGTGCGTCCCGGGGATGACACCATGATATAGAGTCATTAAGCATAATCTCGCAAGCGATTTCGTTGGAAATACTCGGTGACGAAGCATTACAGTGACCTCGTCACCATCTCCGAACACAGGACCAGGACGACTGTGAAGACGATGAACAGCTTCAAGCTCGACTGGTTCGGAGGGATCAGAGGCTTCCATAATGCTTAGTTGCACGCGTCCCGGTTCCCACGCAGAGTTTGCGTGTGAACTTGATGATTTTGAAGACCAAAAAAGAGCAGGTGTGATGTGATGATAAGATCGTATGCAGCAGCTGAAACTCAGATTTTTTTCAGAAGACTCTCAGGATAGCATGTGTACTTGTCTGAAATAGCAAGCTGGAAGACCCCGTATATTTCCCCGAATACAGGGCCGAGATGACTATGTTGACGCTGATCACCAGAAAGCGCAACTGTGTCGGGGAGATAGGGGCCCTCCAAACTACCTTCTAGCATGCGTCCCGGTGATGATCGAAGTGTCGCTGCTGGTGTCCTGATGCAAGAGGCGCGAAAAAATTCGACTGATCCGAAGAGTCTCGACCAGAGCCTCCACCTTCAGCAGTAGCAGAGGTGATTCTGGTCACTGTTGTTGTCCGTCGATTTTCAAATTCTCGGAATCGAATTCCCTCAAGCCAGCAGAGATGCTTAGGAACTCAAATTTTGAAGGAGAAACACGGATATAATGTAAATAACACGTCTTCCGACTCTTCAAATCGCCCTAGAGTTCAGAACATGTGATTTACTGGACCAACCTGGATAGTACGGTGGCCCAAAATCCCTGGGGGCTCACCCTTCCTCAAATGAAAGCCAACGATATTGAAAAAATCTTCTTTATGGTTGCAACTCTTAAAAACGTGATTTAGAGGTAATCCCGATGTGATTTAAAAAAAAAATAGATACTTCATTGTAATAACTGAACAAATATTTCTCATGCATCGAAATTATACTAAATGAGAAAATAAATTTGGTGGCCTGCAAGATGTTCAATTTTTATCAATTCTCAGAAATCACGATTACCTTGAACCAACTGCGTACCCTCTAAACCTTCATCAATCTTAACCATTTCAAGCACAGGCTCATATTGTTGGGTTATGAATCAAACTGGAGGATGGCCTAAAAGATTATAAATTTACCCTAATGCCCGCAATTCTTAGTCCATTTTTGTGCAATATGTTCTACACTCTCCAAATCATCTTGAAGTTCAGATTATGGATTCATTGGTTTCCAGGACGATTTGGTGTAAGCACATGGGAATGAATCGTTTATTAAAAAGTGTTCCTGGTGTATTCCAAGGAATATTTTTTGACATAATCTGATGATTTGACATTTTTTCTCTAACGTACATTTGATTTAATGTAATGAAAAAAAAAATCTCGCAAATATTTAGTGTTCCGGAACTGTTTTTGATCGTTAAGTTGGGTACAATGCACTTAAGTATTATGCATTTTTTATTAAATCGGGCCAAATTTGTCCAAGAAACTCAAAACCGGTGTCAGATTTCACATATAAAGTGAAGTAAGTACACAGCAAAAAAATAATTTTAATATTACATCAAAGTGGATGCACTTCAATCGTGTCGGAAATATGGTGTAATATTACTTGCCAAAGAAGACAAAATTACCAATAATACAGTGGTTGAATTGACATTACGTTGCTTTTACTGCATTTGTTTATTTGAGTGGCCATAAAAATTACATGAGATTTTCGACATGATTGAAGTGCATCCTCTTGGATGTAATATTAAAATTAATTTTTTGCGGTGTAAAAGTACTTTCGTGAAAACTAGTGTAACGTTAAAAAGTAAGTACACATATGTTCGGTTAGTACGCATTTGGTACATTACATTTCTGTAAAAAAAAAAACTAGTTGATCTATGCGGTCATTGCCGAAACCGTATGTCTATTCTGCGAGACACGGTTTTTCCGGGAAACTTGGAATTACTTATTAAAGTCGAGATAAAAGTGTATGGTATCGAAACAAAATATGGTTGTGCTCAGACACATGATCTCTTTCAGATTATTTTTTTTTAAATTAACGTATTCTTGATGCAATTCATTTTTTTAAATCAAATAATCATGTAATCAAAGTAAATAATCGAACCCTAAATGCAAATATACTTTAAAATATAATCAGACAATTGACGAAAAATAAAAAAAAAAATCAAAACTAAACAACGCTCCCAGTTTTATGTTGGAATTTTCAATATTTTAACTACACTTGGAATCTAAATTGCAGCAGCCGTTGTTAGAAAAATCGGTGGAACCATTACCATTAGCCTTGGAAAAGTTCACGGTATTTCACGAATTTCATCAAGCGAAAAGTCTGCGAGGCTTAGTGAGTTTTCACGAACTTTTCCAACACTGGTTCCTTTAGTTGCTTATGGAGACTTCTATAGACAGCTATAAGAACAAACACCTCCAACATACCACACCTTTAGGAGAATTTACCCTAGTAATCTTGGATCGGCACTAGCGACCGTGGATCAATTTTACAACAAAATACTGGAACTATATCCAGTAATGAATTCTATCAAATGAACACTAGGAAGGACACAGTGCCTGATGTAAAGCGTGGCATTTTTAGATATCTTGATGTTGAGAAGCTGTGAGCACGATTATGGACCCTCAACAAAACATTGATTGGAATGGAGCTATAGTCAATATTGGCAATCGAGTGTGAAATTACAAAACTTTATCTCACTTCCCGTGAATGAAGCAGTCCATTCAACCAGTTCAATTAACTAATATGGGAATACAGAGATAAGAGAAATTCCCCTGCGCAATCTGCAATACCCATTTTCGATCAGTTCATCACTTCCTCAGTAAAGTTAAAGTCTATCCCGTAAAAGGAAAGACTTGCTCTAGACTCACCATCCAAACTCGTAAAAGCCCGGACTGCTCCAGCTATTCGTTCCTAATCGTTACCCTCTAACAAACTACCTTCTTTTACTTGGCTCGTTCTCGTCGATTCTCTCCCGCGGCATCAAGCCCAGAATCCTCAACCTTTCAGCTGGGCCACCAGAACTGGCTCAAATTCCGGACACGTTCCGATGCATCGTTATAAAACTGTCTCGAGTAAGAGGTAGGTACCGAAGTAAAACGAGCACCGGAACGTGCCAGTCTGCTGTGCCGTCATACCGCCGTGTTTTACGAGCCCCACCCGAACAATCACCATCAAAATTCCGAAACCGGCATCGATCACTGCTTGTAGTCTATTCGCCCTTATTTATCGCCCCGTCTCTTGGAAAAAAAGTTCATAAATTCAATATTCGCCACTTACCAACTGGACTCTCCTCATTCCAAAACGAGTCGTCTAGAGTGTAATCAGCTTCTGTAACGAAAGCAAAGAAATCAAAACAACAGAAGATTAGTTGATTCGGCTGAGATTGGCTGGCAGCAGTAGGATATAATTCAACAGTTTTTATGATTCCATTGCGGTTTGGAATTTACCTACAGAACGAATAAAATTCAAATTCCATTCGCGCATTCCAACCTTCGCATCACGTGATTGCCACACATAATTACCGAGAAACCTTCACCCCCGGTCGTCGAAGTGAGAATCAGAACCAGCTGCCACTGCTGGCAATAGGGTTTGCGTTCTGCAGGCTGTTTGATGTTTTTTTGGATTAAATTCAGGAAAATCCAAGCACCACAAGCGGTGAATTCAATTCAGCATCAACCCTAACCGAGACAATTAGGTGAGCCCGGTGAAATTTTGCTCGAGTCATTAGAATCAATTAACCTGCCATGCGACTGTCGAACGGTTCGGCTGTGTGTTTTCATGAAAATAAACTACGGCACAACAACAAAAAATAAAAACGAAAACTATTTTCCACCACGATGACTCCGATTTTGGCAGGGGGAACCTGCCATCACGATTTGCGGGCATGCCCGCGGTAACCTAATCGTCCGTAATAAAACGAACGGATTTATCGGCGTTCATCGAGTTCGAGCTCTAGGCTTTGGGTCGTTTGGGCCTACGTGAACACTTTGTAGGAAGGTTGGTACCTGGCGCAAAAGTAGGCATCATAAACTGTTGCCAATTGTTACTGCTGGTGCTGCTGCTGCTGCTGCTTGGCATGTATCGTTCCGCTGGCAGTCGTAATGAACGTGAAGGGAATGTAGATTTTCCAGCTTGGATTCAGGGTGCGTACGTATGATTGGGCCATGTGTTTTGGTTCGCAGGCTGTTGGAATCAGATTCTGATCTACTTGCTCGGTTTGCACTAGAAGCTGAATGAACATGGAAAATGGGAAATTATTATGTTCACTTCAATACGGCTGGCTTACTTATATTAACTGAAAGTCTGGAACTATGTTTTGCAAAATGCAACGGATACAATTCGAAATGTCACTTGATGCTATGTAGCACAATTTACTTTTGTTTTAGTGAAATGTTCTTTTTATTAAAGCAATTAAAACTTATAATAAATTAAATTAAATTAAAGGAATTTTTTAACTAGTTCGTTTATTTGGAAGGCTCAATCGCGTTAGCTTTACGGAGCCGATAGTTCATTGTTCTTTGTTTGTAACAAAATTCACTTAATTCTATGTCTAGTAGGAGTTGGGCCAAATACTCGCGGCTTACTCGAGGTTAGAGAGGTACATTGTCAAAGGATAGGATCAGGAGAGGAGCTTGGGGTGAATTAAAGTGATAATTTATTGATCGAACAAACACTTTACTGATATCTTTACAAGTGAGATTCACCAGGTCTGTCGGTAACGGCGCAGCTATAAAGCAAGACCGGATGCAGCTGGGTTCGATTCCTGGTACAGTCTAGGAATTTGTCGGGTTAAACTCGACTTCCCTGGCTATCAGTGAGGCAAAATATCATGACAATACTCGATACTCGTCAACGCATCAATCGACTATCGCTGACAGAACGTTTTGTGACGCAGTGAGATGTAGTGCCATGGCAAACAACAATCACCAGTAATGGTCCCTGCTCACAGGCAAAACGTAACACTCGCTGCTGATGATGTACAGGACAACGAAAACAGTGAAGACTTCTGCAGTACGATGATGAGAAAAAGCGAAACGACAGAAGAAAATAAAAACAATGCTTACGCATTCCAAGTTCGTCTCTGCAAGCGCGACATGTGAGTTACAAACAAAGCTGGCAAAATTATACGGAAGCTGTTGGACTCATTGACCAACACAATCACATAAGCAACTGCTTCAAAACGAGCACATATGAGTGTCGTGATTGTCGGGAATGACCAGATCGGTGATGGATCACCACTGAAGACGACATCCACCAGTTGCTTTTTACTTCTTTCGATAACTTGATGGATGGTCATCGAGATAGAACTATGCCAGAAATGGTTTGGATGATACGCTGAGCATGTCGTTAAGCAAAATAATCATTCAAATTTTATAAGGGGAGTGCTTCGGCAAGCACATTGATAGGAATATACCAAGCGTTACTACCATCAGCTGTTTAAAGATCGTGATTGTGATAGGTCGCAACTCTGCTGGCCATAGAGTATAATTGTACTCGTCACACAATTATTACTGACGCACAAATGGGATTGGCTCAGAAGGCTCTCAATTAACAACTGTGCTGAGTGGATAGGAGGCTTCCAAGATGCTTATTTTTACGCGTCCTGGGGTCCATTTATCGGCTAACTTGCTGCTATGCTCACCTGCAGTGTCACTGGTGTGGGTGTCAGATTCACACCAGAGGGTCTCCAAAATTTTTGAGCTGAGTGATCTTCGAGCTCGCGGAACAGAACTCCTTCAGGCCATGACAACTGTTGAAAATTAAGCAAATGTCCAACTGTTAGAATGGTGATCAAAATTATCGCCGATTGCCAGCGAAAATAGCTTTCCCTAACAAAAATTTCAAAAACGAATTCCATTCGAATCTTGAGAGAAAGATCGATCTTGACAGATCGATCTTATATTCGGCTCTAGAATCGATCCACTGATTAAATCGGTACCAAAGAATCGATCTTTGGTAGAACGATTTTATGGTTTTTATTTTAAGTGACCTTTCTGACGTTGATAACTCGCACACTTGTATAATCTCATTTTCAAGTGCTTAGTTTGCTATCCTCACTTTCGCTCTAGCCAAAAATGTTGGTTTGTTATTGTTATCCTCACTTTCGGACCATCAAGGCTCTTGCATATAGAAAGGACTATACGCTTCTTTACGTTGGTACCCCAAGACATTTTTTCCTTATTAATATTCAATTAAATGTTGTCGTGACGGTAAGGAGCAATAAGCACAGGAGAGAGGCAGCGAAAACCTTCAAATGCTTGTAACAAGTGCGCTTTCCATATAGATAGTTATTTATTTAGTTCAGAATTCATATTTATACAATATCAAATTGCATGAAGTTCCGTTTTTTCAATTAAATTCATAAAGGTGTTCACCGCCAAAAAATATCCACTCATGTTGAGTTACACTTGTCATACAAAATTGAGTTCCCTGCGTTCAGATGCAAGCGCAAAATAAAATGTACCTGCCTGTTGAGCGTACCGACGCGACCACGTCGAGAAGCGGACATCGACCCACCAAATTTCCATTTAAAATACGTTGACCTTTTTTCCGTTCGGCTTTGCGCCCTCCCCCTGAATTTCGGAGAGAAATTGTCTGGATGCTTGAACAGCTCGTTGGAAAGAGAAGCTGCGAAGCCCTAACAATCAGGTGCAAGTTCTGTACTAGCGGCTAACTGAGTAATGTCCTAGCTTGAATCGTTCAATTTGAATCGACTTGTGGAAGAGGCAAGAGTGGTCAGTTTTCTTATCGTGTCGTAGTGTGTTTAAACAGGTAGTTAACGACATGAGAATCCCTAGTAGAATTGCTAAAACATTTCCCTTTCCTTTAGAGACAAGTTAGGCATACTCTAGCTGCACTAGCTAGTGCAGTGGGCGGCAAAGTGTGTGGATCCAGAAGTTCATGAGGTAAAGGTAGTAATTTCTAGACTAAAAAATAGGTCGACTTACTGGCGTGCCCGTAAGCCCGCGCTTCCGGTGAGTGAGACTAATCAGCATCGTATGATCGCATCCACGATAGTTTCTGGGCCGAAGTAGTGCGTACGCAGCTTCGGTACCGCGCGCCGCCGTCTCCTCATCAAGCTGCAGCGACATAAATTCTAGGAAGTCAATCGTGAGTACATGAATGTGACCCATTTCTCGTTGCATCATCCATGCGCATGAGACCGAACGAAAGTCCGTGAGAGTCTCACTGAATGGGTTAACCAGTAAAAACTCGATGAACCCGAAGGACAGGAATGGTTAAGAGGACACACGCTGAACACACGTCTGGGATATAGCATTGGTACACAGCAAAAAAAAAAATGTAATATCAATCAATCAAGCTGATGTATGAAATAATGATGTACACTGAAACCTCCGTGTACGAAGTCTCTTTTTACGCAGTATTCAATTTACGTCCCTCTTTTTACGAAGTAAATCCCAAATTACGAGGTTTTTTCCACGAAGTAAATTCCAAATAACGAGTTTTTTTTGTGATTTTGGGGAAACTGGGATATACTGGGAAATACCCCACAATATGGGTATTTTTGGAATCAGAGTGACGTGTAGAGACCGGAAATCAATGTCTGACACCATTTTGAAATCCAAGATGGCAACTTCCGGTTACATAAAAACTTGGAAATTCTGCCAAATACCCCACAATATGGGTTTTTTTGAAATCGGTGTGACGTGTAGGGACCGGAAATCGATGACTGACGCCTTTTTGAAATCCAAGATGGCAACTTCCGGTTGCAGAAAAACTTGGAAATTCTGCCAAATACCCCACAATATGGGTATTTTTGGTATCAGAGTGACGTGTAGAGACCGGAAATCAATGTCTGACACCATTTTGAAATCCAAGATGGCAACTTCCGGTTACATAAAAACTTGGAAATTCTGCCAAATACCCCACAATATGGGTATTTTTGGAATCGGAGTGACGTGCAGGGACCGGAAATCGATGACTGACGCCATTTTGAAATCCAATATGGCGGCTTCCGGTAACAGAAAAATTTGAAAATAGCACCACGTCACCCCGATTCTTAAGATACCCATATTGTAGGTTATTTAACATTATTTTTATGTTTTTATTAACCAGAAGCCGCCATCTTGGATTTCAAAATGGCATCAAACATCGATTTGCAGCCCCTACACGACAATCAGATTCCAAAAATACCCATATTGTGGGGTATTTGACAGAATTTCGAAGTGTTCTTGTAGCCGGAAGCCGCCATCTTGGATTTCAAAATGGCGTCAGATATCGATTTCCGGTCCCTACACGTCACTCCAATTCCAAAAATATCCATATTGTGAGGTATTTGGCAGAATTTCCAAGTTTTTCTGTAACCG